TAAAAAAATTGGGGATAAAAATTTCTTGGAATTTACCCCCCTTTTTTTAAAGGAGGTCCCCGGGGGGGGGGGTTAATTTTTTCACAGGCCGGGGGGCAAAACCAACAAACAACAAAATAATGGGGGCCAAGTTTTTCCCCCCCCCCCCCCCCGCGCCCAAAAAAAAATTACCCCCTAAAATTTTGGGGCGGACCCCTTTTTTCCCACCGGGGCACCCATAAATTTATATCCCCCAATTGGGTTATTTTGTTTTTTGGGCTTTCAAAAATTTTCTTCCCCCGGGGGGTGGTAAAAACTCCTTTGGGGGCCCCCCCCCGGGGGGGGGCCAACCAACCAACCCCTCAAACCCCGTTTTTTTTTCCTCTGGGCCCGGAAAACCACGCACCCTTAACCCCTTTCCCCCCCCCCCCCCCCGCGCGCCAGGCATCCAACTCATTTTCGACGCTGTCTCTGGAATTCGCGTATCCCCCCCACCGCCGGACTTTTTCGTACAATCCGTCCAAAGTATTTGCCGTGAAGGCCACATACACACGCGTGGCTGAGAGAAAACACCCTGACAACCACCCCAGAACACAGGGATAACGGCGTTTGCGAGTCGACGCTTGCTTCACACTCACGCCAAGCAAAGAGGAGGTCGATTTCATTTCACGCGCCCACTTCGAGGAACGAGCGAGAGAGAGCTCGCCTCGCATCACCGGGGTCTCATAGCTTCCGGGGCAAGTCACCAGAATCTTTGGGTCAAGCCGCCAAAGTCTTCCAAAAGTGGACAGCGCGAGTCCAAATGGCAGGCACCAAAAGGCGAGCGCAACACCCGCACGACTATCTAAAAATTAAGAAACAAAAAAAGGGGAGAGAAGGGAGACAGACCTAAAAAAAGGAGCAAAAAAAAGAGAGGAGAGGGGCAAAAGAGGGAAAGCCTGCTGAGCCGTCTCATTTCTTCCCTTGATACACATGATGGCGCTGCGCAAACCGAGTTTGCACCTGTTGGAGCTACCGAAGCGCCTTATTTTCTTCGCCCTCGCCGCCACACAAACGAACAGCCTCCCGTATCCCTCCCTAACACACACTCGGGATGATGACACCACGATACTTCCAGATGCATCAGCAAAGACAGCACTGCCTCCTCTACCCATTGGTTCAATTCTTCTCTCCTCACAAATGTAACGTGTCTCGAAGCTCGAAGACAAGATAATACTGCGGCCGGTCTCCCGCCACAAGGAATTTCATCCTTCGGGGGGAGCACTTCGGTGTAGACCAACGACCTAATAGCTCCATGTCCCCAAACACGCCCCGGCCAACAAGAAACAGAACAATTCGTTCAAGTGGTGGAAGGAACGTCCGCTTTTCCAACCTTTCTCTAATGTAGTGACCAACTGAAAAAACAAAGAGCCAACCTGACAAAAATAAAGAACACAAAGAGAGATTCGACCGTCACCAATGCAGCAACATCGTCAGATGTATGGCATGAGAACCAGACATGTTATCGTATGCTAACCGGAGCGATGGACAGCCGATCGTACTGGTCCGTCAGGCTACTGAGGGGGGGGGGGAGTGTTCGGCGCATGGAGACGATAAGTCACATGCCGATTCTCATGTCTGCCCAAGCATGGCAATCGGAACGAACGTTTTTTAAAGCAGAGGAGTACCCCCCCCCCGCCCCCCCCTCGCGGCTTGGGAACACACAAACCGCCCGCCACGCCCGCGTTGTAAGTCTAATAAACGATCAACCGCCTGCTTCATATGTCGCCCATAGGCCGCACTGGTCGGACCACAAGGCTAAGGAAGTCCGACCCGAAAGAAAATTGTCTGGTTTCCGCTGGATTCGTCCGGGATTCAAGCCCGCACGCACGCTACGGTGGAGCACAAGTATAACCCCCCGAAACTGGTTGGCTTTGCTTTACACCTTTCTTGCAACGATGGCGATGTGGGATGGCGAGGTGTTCCTCACTTCCAAGAGCTCGAACCCAACCTCCTCGAGGGCGGAGTTCATGTCGAGGTTCATGTACTCTGGCATGTAGGGCTCGGTCTGACGAGGGTGAACGAACAGGGGGTAAAAAAAAGGAGGGGGAGGGGGAGGTTCACGTACTCTGGCATGTGTGGCTATGCACGGGTACATGCACACGAAATTCGCCTACTTTCCTCTCCCGCTCAGTCTGTCTCGTGTGCGGGGCCCACCCCGACCACAGCCAATCACCCAAACCAAAGCGCGCGACATCCTCCCTGCCCACTATTCCATCAGGGTACGCACACCCCCGGGAGATGCAGCAGATCCTGCTCTCGCGGCAGCGCACAAAACAAACCACGAACGCACACACCCCAACACACACAACACAGCTGCTTCAACACGCACCGTCGCGTTCGAACAATCAAGCTTTTATACACTTGCGCACGCAAACAGAACAAACCACGACGAACGTACGCGCGCACACACCCGGCTGTAAAAACCGCAGCGTTACTACACCTGCGCTAGCGCACAAAACACACAACCCACACGACCAACACACCTGCTTGTAAACCGCCGCCACGAAGGGGTTCTCGAGCAGGATGGCTAGGTTATTCTTGTCGAGGTCGAGGATGGTGAACACCCCGCCGGGTCGGAGGACCCTGTGTGCCTCCCGGAACATCGCCTTCGAGACCCACTCGGGTGACTCGTGGTTGACGAGGCAGATGGTGGCGAGGTCGAACTTGTTCGAAGGCTCGCCGGTTTCCTCCGCTGGTGCATGTCGGAGGGTAACCTTTTCCCACGCAAGGAACGAGCAAGCAAGCACAAGGGTAGCAACAAGCCACAGCCAACAGGAAGCGTAATAACGTCAGGACTACAGCGCCGGCGAGGTGGCGGAACATGCTTCACCTAAACAATAAAAAAAAACCAGCACCTTGCGACATAAACAGGGCGTATACAGAGTCAATTCGTCTCGTTGGTCTTCACAGTTTGGCATAGCGACGAAAGGAACGTGTCCCACCGTCCGGACGTTGCATGGAGGGCATGAGAACTACCGTGGACATCCGACGTACGCGTCAAGGTCAGAACCATTCCAAGAACCATTCCAAGAATCGGTGCGAGAACGACGACAACGACAGCAGAGGCTGCCCTCTCCATCGAGCGCCAAAAACAACAACATTCGACAGCCTTCTTCTACAAGTCAGTCACCTTAGATTGCATGCTCTTCGGCTTCTTCTCGAGCTTCGCCTGAGAGATCGCCAGCTTATACGTGGACATGTCCACCCCCACAAGGTCGGCCTGCGGCCACGCCGTCTGCACCATGTACATGGACAGACCGGTTCCGCACCCCTACCGAAAAAAAAAGTAGAGAGCAACCACGCACATCGAGCGCCCGTGCGTGCACCCATGACGGGCATCGAGCGAGCGACGGAGGGACGGAGGAGGGGGACGTAGACGCGACAAAAGGGGAGGCAAACAAAAGAAGACAACGTTAATATTCACCTGTCGCCATATTGGTGCTGCGTCGTCGTCATCGCCGTCGATGTCTTCGAAACTAAATGTTGCTACGGTCTCTCTGCTCAGTGCCTCTTAAGGTCCGTACCGGGCCAACTGACTTGGACGCCTTGCAACAACAACAAACAGTGGCTCCCCAAAACACCAATCAATCAGCATGTGGGCCGAGCTCTTTGTCATGACGCCTCCACACAGTCGGCTGACGATGCTCCCTCCTGTAGGTTGCCTTTTTGAGGCAGAGACTGAATATTTGTAAGTAGAGTTCGCCCCGTCTTGACTGCCTGCTTCCCAAGCGCTTAACTTGCCACTGGTGTACCGTATATGACACAAGATAACACACACCCTGGACCAATTTTCAAAGCTCGATTACGCCACGACCAAGAGGGTGCATTGTTAAAGCTGTCGACGAAACGGCTTCGACGCCACCGTTTTCGGCGCTGTGACTCTTTCTGCTGTTGAGAAATCG